GTGACATTATTCGTAAAATTTATAGAGTAGACTATAGGAGGGCTTCTGCAAATGATATTGCCATGAAAAACAACATTACCGTCCTTATAACTAATATAGACAGAATTTGTAACTAACCCCCTAACGAACAAAACAACAAACAGCAGCATACGTCTAGTGGCTGTATAAAAAACAACAACTCAGAACGGAGGTCACAGATTTAAAAACAGCAACGTCACAGAACAACTTCATAGGATGATGTCACAAAAAGAAATGTGACGCCAATGACGTCACAAAACAATAGAATATATAGAAAGCAGCCCGTTGTTAGGGAAAAGTGGGCTACTATCAAGTTACAGTGGCCCGAAGATTTCTGATAACATGTATGCATTTTAATGATAATTCTATCCATTTTAGCTATACTACTTGTTCAAACCTTCACATTTAGTGGATTATATATTCCATTGATAACGCTTGTGTTTACATTAAGCGTTGTATCGGAAACATATGTACTGGTCCTGTCACATATAGTGTCAAGTTTTCATTTTGACATGACATAAACATTTTGACATGACATGTGCCATAAAGATACCAGATCGGGGACAGTGTAAACCTTTCCGCATAATAAATTCGTTATGGTGTCTTAAGTTGCCGTATACGGTGTCATATTAGGTTAGCAGAAACATATTGATCTCGGCAGACGCCTCGATTAATACTTTTCTGCTAACTTCATATGACACCGCATAAGACACAACTAATATTATTCATACAGCCATGCATTCACTCATTCATACAACCATACACTCAGTCATTCATACAACCATACACTCACACTCAATCATTCATACAACCGTACACTCACACTCAATCATTCATACAATTCATACAATCATACACTCACACTCAGTCATTCATACAACCATACACTCACACTCAATCATTCATACAACCATACAGTCACACTCAATCATTCATACAACCATACACTCACCATCAATCATTCATACAATCATTCACACTCAATGATTCATACAACCATACACTCACACTCAATGATTCATACAACCATACACTCACACTCAATCATTCATACAACCATATACCCACACTCAATCATTCATACAACCATACACTCACACTCAATCATTCATACAACCATACACTCACACTCAATCGTTCATACAACCATACACTCACACTCAATCATTCATACAACCATACACTCACACTCAATCATTCATACAACCATACACTCACACTCAATGATTCATACAACCATACACTCACACTCAGTCATTCATACAACCATACACTCACACTCAGTCATTCATACAACCATACACTCACACTCAGTCATTCATACAACCATACACTCACACTAAATCATTCATACAACCATACAGTCAGTCCTGTACACATTCATCATCATAATCAACATAACCAACACAGAACTCTCCCTCCCTCCCTCTCTCTCCACCTATCTCTCTCTCGTCCCCTCTCTCCCACTGTCTCTCCCTCCCCCTCTCTCTCGTCCCCTCTCTCCCACTGTCTCTCCCTCCCCCTCACTCTCTCGTCCCCCTCCTTCCCCCTCTCTCTCCCCTATCTCTCTCCCTTCCCCTCTCTCTCACTGTCTCTCCCTCCCCCTCTCTCTCTCGTCCCCTCTCTCCCACTGTCTCTCCCTCCCCCTCTCTCTCTCGTCCCCCTCCTTCCCCCTCTCTCTCCCCTATCTGTCTCCCTTCCCCTCTCTCCCACTGTCTCTCCCTCCCCCCCTCTCTCTCGTACCCTCTCTCCCACTGTCTCTCCCTCCCCCTCTCTCTCTCGTCCCCTCTCTCCCACTGTCTCTCCCCTATCTCCCACTGTCTCTCCCTCCCCCTCTCTCCCACTGTCTCTCCCCCCTCTCTCTCTCGTCCCCTCTGTCCCACTGTCTCTCCCCCCCTCTCTCTCTCGTCCCCTCTCTCCCACTGTCTCTCCCTCCCCCTCTCTCTCTCGTCCCCCTCCTTCCCCCTCTCTCTCCCCTATCTGTCTCCCTTCCCCTCCCCCCTCTCTCTCTCCCTTCCCCTCTCACCCCTATCTCTCTCCCTTCCCCTCTCTCCCACTGTCTCTCCCTCCGCCTCTCTCTCTCGTCCCCTCTCTCCCACTGTCTCTCCCCTATCTCCCACTGTCTCTTCCTTCCCCTCTCTCTCTCGTCCCCTCCCCCTCTCTCTCCCCTATCTCCCACTGTCTCTCCCTCCCCCTCTCTCCCACTGTATCTCCCTCCCCCTCTCTCCCACTGTCTCTCCCTCCCCCTCACTCTCTCGTCCCCTCCCCCTCTCTCCCCTCTCACCCCCTATCTCTCTCCCTTCCCCTCTCTCCCACTGTCTCTCCCTCCCCCTCTCTCTCTCGTCCCCTCTCTCCCACTGTCTCTCCCTCCCCCTCTCTCCCACTGTCTCTCCCCCCTCTCTCTCTCGTCCCCTCTGTCCCACTGTCTCTCCCCCCCTCTCTCTCTCGTCCCCTCTCTCCCACTGTCTCTCCCTCCCCCTCTCTCTCTCGTCCCCCTCCTTCCCCCTCTCTCTCCCCTATCTGTCTCCCTTCCCCTCCCCCCTCTCTCTCTCCCTTCCCCTCTCACCCCTATCTCTCTCCCTTCCCCTCTCTCCCACTGTCTCTCCCTCCGCCTCTCTCTCTCGTCCCCTCTCTCCCACTGTCTCTCCCCTATCTCCCACTGTCTCTTCCTTCCCCTCTCTCTCTCGTCCCCTCCCCCTCTCTCTCCCCTATCTCCCACTGTCTCTCCCTCCCCCTCTCTCCCACTGTATCTCCCTCCCCCTCTCTCCCACTGTCTCTCCCTCCCCCTCACTCTCTCGTCCCCTCCCCCCTCTCTCCCCTCTCACCCCCTATCTCTCTCCCTTCCCCTCTCTCCCACTGTCTCTCCCTCCGCCTCTCTCTCTCGTCCCCTCCCTCCCCCCCTCTCTCTCTCCCTCTCCTCCCCCCCCCCCCCCCAACACACCCTTTCTCTCGCTCTTGTGATCTAAATGATATCAGTATCCAGACATCTACTATATGTGTCCACGATGGAATGTATTATCACATATCATATTCTGAAACCTGTAACAGGACCGTACCGCCTCAGTGCTAGACGACCTTAGCTACATTCTGCAAGTTAAAGGAAGACGCTAGCTAATGACAAAAACTCTCAAAATTTTCTCAAAACAGCGAGACCCAAGTTTAGTTTCAGATTACAGCTTGCCAATTAACACAGCAGAAAAAGCGAGCAGTTTGCGAGTGAGAGAGCGGGGAACCTGCCGCGCTGTAGATGTGTACACTCGAGTAATGGGAGGCAATCAGACGCTTTGATTCCCCGAGCATGTAGCGATGAAGAGGCTGCACTGCGACATTGACATAACGCGGGGCAGCTGTAGTCGCCGTCAGCGGCGCAGGCCTAGTGCCAACATTAGAATAGACTTGCACATCCCGCTGTTGGCGTGCATGAACGCCAAGTGAATACCACTTGCCACTGCCTTCCTATTGTGACGTATATATAACAATTGCCACTGCCTATGTTAGAATTTCGCTCGGTGCGTTACGTTTAAGCTATGTATGGATTCAACAGTTTGTAGAAAATAAGAATATATCTAAATGTGTTGTCAAACCAAATATCTTGCATCAAATGTGGCCGGCAATATCTCGTTAGGCAGTATTTTACAGCTTATTTGAACATTAAATGTAATTAGAAAGTTATGTGTTATCTTTTCCTCTTCATCTACAAAAAATGAAAGTATTCCTATTATTAAGATCCACTAACCATTGTTTACCGATAGAGAAGAGTCGATGGGAAAATACTAATATACCAGTGGAGAATTTGTATTCATTGTTACAAGAATGATTGAGCAGACGAATAATATTATTTATTAATGTCTATTGTTTGATAATCTCCGTTAACGATCAAAAATACTTTACAAGGCCACATGTAAACTAATTTTATCAGTTATAAAATAACTGCCAGAGTTAAAAAGATAGGCACATTGGTTTAGATATAGAACGTCAATCCTAGAAAATGGCCAGTCTCGATTATTCAACGAAACGCAAACGTGCGGTGAAAAACTGCCACTCTCTTTCTACTGTGAATTAACAATTGCCACTGTCATTCTACTGTGAAGCGAATAGCAATTGCCACTGTCTTCCTATTGTAACGTGAGTAACAATTGCCACTGTCATTCTACTGTGAAGTGAATAACAATTGCCACTGTCTTCCTATTGTGACGTGAATAACAATTGCCACTGTCTTTCTACTGTGAAGTAAATAACAATTGCCACTATCTTCCATTTGTGACGTGACTAACAATTGCCACTGTCTCCGAATTGTGACGTGAATAACAATTGCCACTCTCTTTCTACTGTGACGTGAATAACAAGTGCCACTGCCTTCTACATTAAAGTGAAAACACTCTGTTTTCGCCTATGGAAGGTTCTCCGAAGAAACTCCTTTGTATCGAGACAATGTTAAACATGTAAATAGCGTTAGTAATACCGGGGGTTGACATATCACACATCAGATGTACATGAAGGATGAGACTTGACTCAACGTGTCTCCCGTGGCGGCAGTGCACATCCGTTTCAGGGGGAGTCGTAACAACAGGCAGCATCAGCCTGTAGGAAACACTGCATGGGGATACCAGCTGTTGATGCTGAGGACAGTGACCATTGTCCATCACTACAGCACGACAATGGCTGACTGACACTTGAAGAGCTCTGAGCCAACTTGTCACGACAGCAATAGGATCCTGAGTGAGTGAGTGAGTGAGTGGGTAGTGGTTTGGGTGGTATTGAGTATTGAATGGTGGAATGGTTGAGTGGGTGTTTGAGTGAGTGTTTAAGTGGGTGTTTGAGTGATTGATTGAGTTAATAAGTGAATGTTTGAGTGAGTGTTTTAATGAATGAGTGTTTTAGTGAGTGAGTGAGTGTTTTAGTTAGTGAGTAAGTGAGTGAGTGAGTGAGTGAGTGAGCGACACCGTAGATGTGTCATTCATTAAAACCAAGAGACTGGCGACATGACAGATGGAAACCAGGAGACTGACGACATGGTAGATGGAAACCAGGAGACTGACGACATGGTAGATGGAAACCAGGAGACTGACGACATGGTAGATGGAAACCAGGAGACTGGCGACATGACAGATGGAAACCAGGAGACTGACGACATGGTAGATGGAAACCAGGAGACTGGCGACATGGTAGATGGAAACCAAGAGACTGACGACATGGTAGATGGAAACCAGGAGACTGACGACATGGTAGATGGAAACCAGGAGACTGACGACATGGTAGATGGAAACCAAGAGACTGGCGACATGACAGATGGAAACCAGGAGACTGACGACATGGTAGATGGAAACCAGGAGACTGACGACATGGTAGATGGAAACCAGGAGACTGGCGACATGGTAGATGGAAACCAGGAGACTGACGACATGGTAGATGGAAACCAGGAGACTGGCGACATGGTAGATGGAAACCAGGAGACTGGCGACATGGTAGATGGAAACCAGGAGACTGACGACATGGTAGATGGAAACCAGGAGACTGACGACATGGTAGATGGAAACCAGGAGACTGGCGACATGGTAGATGGAAACCAGGAGACTGACGACATGGTAGATGGAAAGCAGGAGACTGACGACATGGTAGATGGAAACCAAGAGACTGGCGACATGACAGATGGAAACCAGGAGACTGACGACATGGTAGATGGAAACCAGGAGACTGGCGACATGGTAGATGGAAACCAGGAGACTGGCGACATGGTAGATGGAAACCAGGAGACTGACGACATGGTAGATGGAAACCAGGAGACTGACGACATGGTAGATGGAAACCAAGAGACTGGCGACATGGTAGATGGAAACCAAGAGACTGGCGACATGGTAGATGGAAACCAGGAGACTGACGACATGGTAGATGGAAACCAGGAGACTGACGACATGGTAGATGGAAACCAGGAGACTGACGACATGGTAGATGGAAACCAGGAGACTGACGACATGGTAGATGGAAACCAGGAGACTGACGACATGGTAGATGGAAACCAGGAGACTGACGACATGGTAGATGGAAACCAGGAGACTGGCGACATGGTAGATGGAAACCAGGAGACTGGCGACATGGTAGATGGAAACCAGGAGACTGACGACATGGTAGATGGAAAGCAGGAGACTGACGACATGGTAGATGGAAACCAAGAGACTGGCGACATGGTAGATGGAAACCAGGAGACTGGCGACATGGTAGATGGAAACCAGTAGACTGACGACATGGTAGATGGAAACCAGGAGACTGACGACATGGTAGATGGAAACCAGGAGACTGACGACATGGTAGATGGAAACCAGGAGACTGACGACATGGTAGATGGAAACCAGGAGACTGACGACATGGTAGATGGAAACCAGGAGACTGACGACATGGTAGATGGAAACCAGGAGACTGACGACATGGTAGATGGAAAACCGGGATAGATAGAATACCGTTCACTTAAACCATGACAATTAAAACACGTTAATAATATCAATGTTAGCAATTGCAGATTGCAGATTGAGATTTAAGTGCAGATATGGCACCACAACAACACACGGCACGACTTGTGTGCGTTCTTCCATCTCCTTTATTTGCAGCACCACTGCATCTAAAAATAACTGCTACTTTATTCACACATTTATCTCCTGTATCATTCGTCACAAACCACACGCAACATCTGGCCTGCAGGTATCAATCAGTGTTCAACCACAGGGCCGTATTTACGCCCCACACTCGCGGTGCGAAGAGGGAGATGAACACACGCTAGCCCTGAGACACTTTATCCATCTGAGATTCATGTTAACCCCTAACAAGGATTCCCTCACAAGTTCCAGTTGGTATGAATGACTTGGAAGTTGAAAATTTCTGAAAGGTTGAATATCAAGATGCTACCACCACCACCACTACTGCAAGTACAGATAATGATGATGATGGTGATGATGATGGGGAGGAGAAGAGAGGGTGCAAGAATAGGACACTTTCTGACACTTCAGCGATCCTAACAAAAATACTAAATATTAAAAATAATTACGAAATTGTTTACTGAAAGACTAAAATAACAGGTAGAGATATAACGGGTTTGATTAACAGAAGGATATTTTAGAATGAAGTCAGTGCAAATACACGCCACTTTATATAAACTGTCCATGAAATAACACGATGAGAACACGTACGAAACCAAACATCTGTCACAGCAATCAATAGAGGTGTTTACCGTCGCTACCATGTTGCTGTCACACGTAGATATGCGTATCCGGGTATCCTGAGTTGTACATCACTGCAGCGAGAATCATGGAGGTTGTGAGAGTGTGTGCTCTCCTTGTCTGTGTTTTGACCGTCAAATCCGATGACCCTCCTGGTCATCTGAAACCGTTTGGAAGCCACACCGTCCCGCATGACCTCGAGGTCATGACAGAGTTCCCATCACCCCAGAAGTTCTACGAGAAGTTCCAAGGACCTGGGAAACCAGTAATGTTTAAGTCTGTCCTCAAGGATGTCGTGTTCCCTCCATATCAACTCTGGGATGATGACTACCTACGGACAAAATTCGGCGAAGTCGAGGTGGCGTTTGAAGCAGGAAAGAAGGAGACGAGAAATGGCGGCATGGACTCTAAGAGGCTGACGGAGTTCCTGGAAATATATAAAGACCAGGACATCTACCTCGTTGAGGATCTTAAGAAGGCCATGTACGGAGACATGTATATTCCGAGAAGCCTTCAGTGTGGAGGCTATCAGAACCACATAGAGACCATCGTCATCTGGTTCAGCAGCGGGGGAACAAAGTCCGTCATCCACAACGACTCGCAGGACAACATCAACTGTCTACTGGACGGGACAAAGAATCTGGTGTTCTTCGACCGGAAATATAAGGAGTTGATCGAAGCAGACGGGTTTAAAATGGACGGATCGTACAGTCATGCTGATGTTGATAGTGTTGATATGTACAAATACCCCAGGATTAAAGAAATTCCGACATTCAAGGCAGCGATGGAAGCAGGTGACTGTCTGTATATTCCGTATCAATGGTATCATCAAGTTAATTCCTTTGGTAGCAGGAACCTTGCTATAAATTTCTGGTTGACGCATCTGCCGTTTTTCAATGATTCTGATTGTCAAAATGTCGATTTAAACGAACAAACAGTTCCGTTTGATAAATACGGTTTTGTAAATAAGTTTCGGAAGGAGAATATCTTTTTCCTCAGCGATCTTCTTGAAATGGCGAATGTTTCCAGAGAAGCGTTCATGGAGTCACTTGTGAAACCAGAAGCAGACGACAAGGACGCCATCTTTGATTTTGTTGACAGAGATGGAGATTCAAGTTTGTCATGGGACGAACTGTTTCAGATTGATGCCAGAGACATTATAAAGCGTTATGGTAGCTCATTGACGACACTGCCAACTTTCTTTGATGACATTCAGGAAGCGTCCTTCGGTCACGATGAGCTTTGATCATGTTCAGCAATGTAGACAAGACGTTTATTCTGTAGCCCGGAGTACGACAGGAAAAACACCTATTCTTGCGCATTCATAATATCTAGTACATATGAATATTCTAACACTCATGTTTAAAAGGAAAGTTATTGAACAGGTAAAGATGACAACAGTATTCATTTCATTTGACTTCGAAAGTAACGCACGAATGAACTGTTGCTATGTTCTCACCATGCGCAGTTTTAGAATTATAATGTAATGATTCTCCAAAGTTAATAAACTTATGATGATCATAATTTTCATATTCAGGATGTTTATATTGCTTAGAGGTTCCTTAAATAATCATCATTACATTAGTAAATATTGGAAAATAAAAATACATTTATTTACGGAGAGTGGGATTATTCAGTATACGAGCAATATACTGAATAGCCGAAGTTAGTTTCAGGCTGCTAAATATCTGATCTGTTTTTTATGCATATGAATCGAAATTTCTTCTCGGATTGGCAAAATCAAAACAAGGGAATTTGGCCAAGAAGGTTAACTTCAGCTTCAGATTTATCGATGATCTGATATCGTTCAATAATGGTCAAGTAGCCAATTCCTTTACATTGATTTACACACCTGAACTAGAAATAGAAGCGACCAGCCTGTGGTGTGTACATTTCACAACTTTTGAGGCACAGTTGAACATGTTCTTCCTGCGAATATTTCAAAGAACGCCACGCGACTCAAAAGTTGTTTGTCCAGAGTAACAACCAAAGTAAGGCTTTCAAAACGTGTTATTCTAGATAAGTGGATGAGAATTTCTTGACTTGCCATTGCATGTCTTGTGCTGGGTGCCGCCGGGCGCTCACCTTGTATGAACACCTGGGCCCACTTGCACAAAGCGATCTTAGCGCTAAGACTATTGTAAGCCTATGTTAAAGTATGGGAGTTACGATCATCTTAGCGCTAAGATCGCTTTGTGCAAGCGGGCCCAGGTGTCATCACTAGTTGATAGTGGTTAAAAAACACATGCTTATGTTGGAGTCGGAGTTTCTAAATTGTCTCTGCTCTTAGCAGAGTTTTCGCATGATTATGGAAAGGGTTAAGGCCGCAGATCTAAGGCCCCGCAGTTAGCTGTGTTACGTCCCTTCGTTGTGTGTGTATAAAGCTCCTCACAGCGATATCCAGCTCGTGGAGCACGATGTACGCTGCCTCCAGTCAAAGCCCCTCACTGTGATAGGTGGCCACAACCATGCTTGGAGTTGAACACGCAACCGACAGATCGTCATGTTTACAAACGAGTGACGACAGCTGTGACGCCAAATTTACTCTTACCCGTGCTAAATTATTTTTTTGTTTGTCAATTTGAATTTCTGTTTCATTACAACTATGAAGTCATGTAAGGTGGAAGTTGGTTGATTTTCCGTTCGTCGGCAATCTCGAACCAATCTGATCAAACAAACAAAAAGATAAATTAATCTGGAATATGGTCAGTCGTAAACCTTTTCAAAATTCACTTTGATTGCATTCCTAAAGACATAAACAAAAGTATAAACGTTACTACATTTGGGGTTAGAGGGCAAATTTCAAGATTCTTGTAATGGCCGCGCCCACATTGACGGCAGCGATGTTACCAAGAGTGTAACGAAGGTGTCACGCGCTGGGAAGGAGCTTGTGTCAGGATCTGTCGATCGTGTGTTCGACTCCCATATTCACCCTAATGAGGACCCTCTGTTTGTCAGCCCCACGCAAGCACAAAGTCCAAGCCCCGCGTCACATTGAGCAATGTCTGCCTGATTCATCCTGGTTACCACATTCATGTCTACCCGATTCATCCTGGTTACCTCACCCATGTCTACCCGATTCATCCTGGTTACCACATCCATGTCTACCCGATTCATCCTGGTTACCACACTCATGTCTACCCGATTCATCTAGGTTACCATGGCAATGTCTGCCTGATTCATCCTGGTTACCACACCCATGTCTACCCGATTCATCCTGGTTACCACACCCATGTCTACTCGATTCATCGTGGTTACCACACCCATGTCTACCCGATTCATCTAGGTTACCATAGCAATGTCTACCCGATTCATCTAGGTTACCATACCCATGTCTACCCGATTCATCGTGGTTACCACACCCATGTCTACCCGATTCATCTAGGTTACCATAGCAATGTCTACCCGATTCATCTAGGTTACCACACCCATGTCTACCCGATTCATCGTGGTTACCACACCCATGTCTACCCGATTCATCTAGGTTACCATAGCAATGTCTACCCGATTCATCTAGGTTACCACACCCATGTCTACCCGATTCATCCTGGTTACCACACCCATGTCTACCCGATTCATCTAGGTTACCACACCCATATCTACCCGATTCATCCTGGTTACAACACCCATGTCTACCCGATTCATCTAGGTTACCATACCCATATCTACCCGATTCATCTAGGTTACCACACCCATGTCTGCCTGATTCATCCTGGTTACCACACTCATGTCTACCTGATTCATCCTGGTTACCATAGCAATGTCTGCCTGATTCATCCTGGTTACCATAGCAATGTCTGCCTGATTCATCCTGGTTACCATAGCAATGTCTGCCTGATTCATCCTGGTTACCATAGCAATGTCTGTCTGATTCATCCTGGTTACTACAGCCTATGTACCAAGCTGTAGGACAAAAGGGATGGTTTCGATTTTCCTATGGTGAATTCCCACTTCATGTGGAACAATATACCACCTGCTCTAGCTTATTTCTCAGTTGCTTAGCAACTTTAGTAGAGCATGTACATTTTATACAAATTTCACGGAAAAAAACCTTTTACTGATGTTTGACTTTCAATCAAGGTCTCGCCATCAAAGGTCTGGGTCAGTCATTGCAGAAGTGTTATGGTAGACATTCGGAGGAATTTACTAAATATGACACGTTGCTTGATGTGCTTCACTTCGCCTGTCATTATCAAATATATTCAAGCCCATGCAAGTCTATAATAAATGGCAAGTCTAGATTACTGCAGTTTCAGAAAAATATGAAAATAAAAATGAAGAGTGAGTGAGTGAGTGAGTGAGTGAGTGAGTGAGTTTAACGCCGCTTTCAACAGTATTCCAGTTATATCACGGCGTGTCAGCTTGATGTGGGAGGAAAGCCCGAAGTGATGCAGGTCTTAGACGTTTACCACCTCGGTGAAACCCACGAGCCCGTGCCCCCTGGAAATGAAGAGAGTGTATAGGCTCCTCCTTATCATATTGTGTTCAACTTTAATTTAACAACTATTTTTCATTTCTCATTTCAGAGACAAGATGTTTTTCTACTCCTGATAACTATAGTATACAATGTAGTTATAGTCAGGAACAAATGAAATAGTAATTTCAATACTTAATACTTCGAAGTTCGCAGATGACAACAGTAACTGTGAATGTTTTAAAAAAAATATATATATAATAAAACTGGAAAAGATGGACATGTATCAATGTTCACTCACTGTTTAAATAAATAAAATATTTCTAATTCTAAACGTACCAGCAAACTTCTAACACGTCTAACCTGGCATGCAATACGTACCTAGTTTAAGATATAAGTCACCGATATTGACGGTATTCCACACCGTCACACGCATTCTGATTACATTGTAACGCTCGCCCGGGAACATGAATATCAATGCCGTAAATAAATAAGTGAGCATGAGAATGCGACTTCGGCGCCAGCTGGGATATTAACATTTTCTCAAGCTTTGGCCTTATAAAGTATTGTCGCAACAGCGTTTCATATAAGCAGTGATTGCGGGTAAGCGTTGCAGGATCCTGGATTGTGTTCTAGTGGGAGTGTGTCTCCATACTGATCTCTTGTGGCGTTTCTTTATTTAGAAGACGGATTTTCATTTTCATTCCGAATGGATCAGTTTTTATACGTCACTTCTATCTTCTTCGTGGCCTCAGCATCTGATCTTCCGGGACATCTTAAACCATTTGGGTCACATACAACCCCGGCGGACGTAGAGGTACTAACCGAATTTCCAGAACCCAAAGACTTCTATGAAAAGTATCAGAAAGGAGGTGGTAAGCCTGTTCATTTCAAATCCATCCTGAAAAATGTTGATTTCAAGCCTTTCAAAAGATGGACGGACGACTACATGAAGGAGAAGTTCGGAGAAGAGATGGTTCAGGTGGAGAAGTTTAAGAAGGAGAAGAGAGATGCCGGGATCAACACGATGTCGCTCAGCAAGTTTCTCAGCGTGTATAAAGACAAGGATATGTATATGGTTCACGATCTTCTCGATGACATGCGTGACGACATGTCCATACCTCGTAGCATCCAATGTGGCGGCTTCCAGAACGTCATGGAAACGGTGGTGCTCTGGTTCAGCAGTGGGGGTACCAAGTCAGTGTTACATTTAGACGAGATGGAGAACTTCAACTGTCTACTAGACGGAACTAAAGATCTTGTGATCGTAGACCGTAAGTTCCAAGCGGAGATAGAAGACAGCGGTTGGATGGCTAAAGGTGTGTACAGCAAGATGGATGTGGATAAGGTCGATATGAAGAAATATCCAAAGGTACAACAGGTTCCGACGTTTAAAGTGTCAATGGAACCAGGAGACTGTCTGTACATTCCATACAAGTGGTACCACCAGGTAAATTCCTTTGGAAACCGCAATCTGGCTGTGAACATATGGTTCGCACACATTCCTTGGTTCAACTACACCGACTGTGACAACGTGGCCACGTCGCATCAGACGGTGCCGTTCAAACAGTTCGGGTTCATGTCTGAATTCCGACGGGCAAGTACAACCTTTTTAAGACCTTTAGTTGATTATCCCGAAATGAGCAAAGATATATTCCTCCGAGAAATTGTACCGAAAGGCGTAGATAAAGTGGCAAGGGACGCTATCCTAAACTACATCGATGTGGACAAAGACGGAGTCCTGGGCTGGGATGACCTCTTGAAGTTGGACGTCATGGCCTTCGTGAAGCAGTTTGAGGAACACCTGGATGTAGACCCGGAACTATTTGAAGCCATGGACGCCAACCCCTATGGGGGACATGACGAACTGTGAGTGCAGTATGGGGCACCAGACACTGGCAGAGACCACCCATATGGCTACCTTAACTTTCTATGTTTTATAAGTCTAACTGGAGCACCCAAAATATTATAGATCTTATATATACGACAGAACCCCTTTGGAACTTCTCGGAATCGATAGAATATGTTCAGAAAAATGTAATGAATCGTCTCCAAAGAAATAAAAAGGTTAGTTAATTATTTTTCGGTCATCCGCTGGAAAAGGGTGTACCCGCGGATATAACCTGAAAAAAAAGAGTTTTATCCGGCAACTCTTAATTAAATGACTCAATCAACATGGAAATAAATTCTTAAATCAGTTCACGATATTATTGCCAAAAGCAAAAAATTCGAAGAGTTGTAATAATATAAATATATTCTGGATGAAATATTAAAAAGTGTTGCACTGTAATCCTTAAGCTCGGACACCACATGATCAAGCTTGCGGTTACAGATATTTAAAAAAAATAATTGTACGTTTATATTTAACATAAACTTGTTTTAAATTATTCACTAACTGAAACCTGTTTTTCCAGGAGCGGTATTTATACGAGCAATGTTTTGGTTTTTACAAATCCGGATTTTATTTATGAAATATAAATAAGTTGCTTTTAAATGTGGTCCAATAATTTCCAGCTGGCAACGGTTATCTGTAAACGGAACGTAGGAATCTGCTGTACTGCATCTCTCTATATTTTAGTTTGTACATACAACCCTCCCTGCTTATAATGCCACCTTTTGTCCAGTGGAAAATATGGCATTATATCCAGGGAGGACTATCTATTCATTTCGAACATAATCTTTGTAATTTAATGTTTGGAAAAACGGCAATTGCGGATATTATTTCAGAAAAGGACAGTATCATTGACATCAAATTGATTTGTTATTTTAAGAAAGAAAATGATTCTCTCTGTGAGGATAAGCAGTGAAAACAATTGAGATCAATGAATATAGCTTGTTGTTTCAGAAGAGGGAATTATCTCCAATAGATTAACTACATTGCCATTTTTACGCGAAAATACATTAAAAATGTCATTATAACCATGTAATAGGAACGTTTTTCCTGCAAAATACTGCCATTGGCATTATAACCAGGGGTTTTTGCGCTGCAGAAATCCGTTCTGATAAAAAAACAAACCCATGGCATTATAACCTCGGTGGAACGATGACTGCAAGTTTTCAGTGATTATTGAAATCGCTTTCATATGCGAGTCTTTTCTCGGTACATTATTCCTTACAATGAGTTCTGTATCAGCCTCCCTCGTCTACCGACCATCTGGGTCGGGATCGATGTGATCAATAATGCGCTATAGCAAGCTAACTGTTGAACAGATTCGGTATCCTCTGGAGGGTCATGACAGTAACAGATGTGTGGTGCTACACGTGTGACCACACCACCACATCTGTCCCGTAGCTAGGCATCTCCTCCCACACCTCACCAGTCGCTACTGCTTGGTAGAACTTCAATCTGTGACATCATATCACGCCCCTGCCATATTGGTAGTTCAAATAGAGAGCGACTTGGCTTGGACAATTTGGCAGCCCCAGCCGATGTGATTAAAAGCTTTCAAACATCACACCCTTTCAATGATTTGTCAAATTTTATGATCCTTAAAATTTAAAAGCTTCAATTCCATTTTTTACTTCTGAAATTGAATGAAATATTTTGATTGTCATATTGTTGATTTCAGGAGCAATTTTGATTGGTTCCTTGTGTAAAAACAGTACACGTATAAATGTTTTACTAATGAAACCAATACAATCGCATTTGTATTCCAAAATAAAGACTGCAAATTATAATTAATGAGACCGTATGTCATCTGAACGGCATTAATACGTCTTTAACTGTTTGCCAATTCAGCTTCACACATTTTGTGAAATAAATATGTTCCAACATGTCAACACAAGGTTACCTCACTACCCCCCCCCCCATCTTGAACTCTGCCGTAATACATCTTGTACTCTGCCCTAATGCGTCTTGAACACTGCCCTAATAAATCTTGTACTCTGCCCTAATTCATCTTGAACTCTGCCCTAATACATCTTGAACTCTGCCCTAATACATCTTGAACTCTGGCCTAATACATCTTGAACTCTGCCCTAATTCATCTTGTACTCTGCCCTAATACATCTTGAACTCTGCCCTAATTCATCTTGTACTCTGCCCTAATACATCTTGAACTCTGCCCTAATACATCTTGAACTCTGCCCTAATACATCTTGAACTCTGCCCTAATACATCTTGTACTCTGGCCTAATACATCTTGAACTCTGCCCTAATTCATCTTGTACTCTGCCCTAATACATCTTGAACTCTGCCCTAATTCATCTTGTACTCTGCCCTAATACATCTTGAACTCTGCCCTAATACATCTTGAACTCTGCCCTAATACATCTTGAACTCTGCCCTAATACATCTTGTACTCTGGCCTAATACATCTTGAACTCTGCCCTAATACATCTTGAACTCTGCCCTAATACATCTTGTACTCTGCCCTAATGCATCTTGTACTCTGCCCTAATACATCTTGTACTCTGCCCTAATGCATCTTGAACTCTGCCCTAATGCATCTTGTACTCTGCCCTAATGGATCTTGTACTCTGCCCTAATGCATCTTGAACACGGCCCTAATACATCTTGAACTCTGCCCTAATACATCTTGAACTCTGCCCTAATACATCTTGAACTCTGCCCTAATTCATCTTGTACTCTGCCCTAATACATCTTGAACTCTGCCCTAATACATCTTGAACTCTGTCCTAATACATCTTGTACTCTGCCCTAATACATCTTGTACTCTGCCCTAATGCATCTTGAACTCTGTCCTAATACATCTTGAACTCTGCCCTAATACATCTTGAACTCTGTCCTAATACATCTTGTACTCTGCCCTAATACATCTTGTACTCTGCCCTAATGCATCTTGAACTCTGTCCTAATACATCTTGAACTCTGCCCTAATACATCTTGAACTCTGTCCTAATACATCTTGAACTCTGTCCTAATACATCTTGTACTCTGCCCTAATGCATCTTGAACTCTGTCCTAATACATCTTGAACTCTGCCCTAATACATCTTGTACTCTGCCCTAATACATCTTGAACTCTGTCCTAATACATCTTGAACTCTGTCCTAATACATCTTGAACTCTGTCCTAATACATCTTGTACTCTGCCCTAATGCATCTTGAACTCTGTCCTAATACATCTTGAACTCTGCCCTAATACATCTTGTACTCTGCCCTAATGCATCTTGAACTCTGTCCTAATACATCTTGAACTCTGCCCTAATACATCTTGTACTCTGCCCTAATACATCTTGAACTCTGTCCTAATACATCTTGAACTCTGCCCTAATACATCTTGAACTCTGAGGCCTACAATGTTGTAATCTGATTAAACAAATTTTGAGAAAGAGTTGTAAGAAACATGTTTTCCCTTGTCAAAGTTGTTAATAATTTTAAGTTTTAAGGGAACACAATCTCATATATCATGATGAATATTTTTAGGCAATTGTAGATTGTTTTTAATAATTGCAACATAGAAACACTTACTACTTTTTCTAGTTCTTAGTTTATTCGTTTCTAAGTCTAATAACATCTATTTTGTTCAAAACACAAGAAGAGAAACATCATCATTCAAATCTTTATTTACATATTCATGTTATGGAGCACCACCAGTCCAACAAGTATTTATTCAGCTGTCATGAATCAACACAACAATCAAATCTGAATCATAACAATTTCCTCCAATGTGTCTATTTGTGACTATCTATTTGTTCAATTAAACAGGAGCTTATGGTCATAACAAACCCAATCATATTTAACTAAATATACACCAATGGAAGGAGATGTACAATGGATATCAGACAAAAATAGGCTGGCAAGTGTATTTTTTTTCAAAAACATTTGTATAATATTTACAAATGGTTCACTTAATGACAGTGAGTGAGTGAGTGAATTTTGTATAACATAACAGGAAAGAAGTAGTCTGATCAAGCCCATGTATGATACTGGGTTCAAACCCATGACCTTGAGATCCTGGAATAGTCATGTAAAGGATGACCACTTCCATCATCACTGGAGCCACCAAACCACAAGTATTAGTCAGGACATTCTATATTCTGGACAGAAAAGTGTGTGAGAGTTCAACTCTAAAAACAGAAACTTCACTATTTCTTTGTCAAAATGTTTGGCGTTTGTGACTACAGTGTTTCAGCACAAACATGTATGACCAACATTGGCATGGTGCAATTCCCAAACAAGGGGTTTCTACAGAATGCACAAACACCTTGAACATATAGATGGGAGATTAAATGTTGATAATGCACAATCAATACTAATAAAATCGTTCAACACCTTTAAGATCTTGAGCCCCATGAATTGCCCGGGTTAGAATTAACATTTAGCAACCCATGCTTGTTGTAAGAGGCGACTAACAGTATTGGGTGGTCAAGTACCCTGACTTGGATCAGTGCTCATGATGTTAATCACTGGATCGTCTAGTCCAGACTTGATTATTTACACACTGCTGTCATATAGTGGGAATATTGCTGAGTGCAGCATTAAACAACAAATAAACATCTTGCCTACCACATTTTTCTGGTGATGGAAGCTATTTCACATTTTCTTAAATAAAAACATGTTTTCTGTAAACATCCTCCTTCACATATTCAACACACAAGTCATATCACAGATTGGTATAAGCGATGCAAAATATCAAAAGCTTGCATCAATTACATTTGTAATGCTTGCTACAATTCCCAGTGCAACCTTGTACTGTCATCCCGTTGTCACCCGTCAGTGTTCATCTTGACGTGAGTACACTACACTTTCTGTGATGAAAGCCCTGTCGTGGACAATAGGGGCACATAGATAAGTGTCACATTGACAAGGGTTAACTGTCACACTGACAAGGGTTAACTGTCACATTGACAAGGGTTAACTGTCACACTGACAAGGGTTAACTGTCACACTGACAAGGGTTAACTGTCACATTGACAAGGGTTAACTGTCACATTGACAAGGGTTAACTGTACAGCTTCAAAAGTCGAAATGATACATTTAGCTTCAACGAGTACGAAAAATATAACAAATCTGAGCTCTGTGACAACTCCTGCAAACATATTATTATAATTATACAAATATGTCAATAGTCTGTGACAGATTTTCCAACATGGACATCAAGTCCTGCAAACATGTATACACCGGGTAAGAATACATACATGTCACTACAGTTCTACCACGGGCAACTTTGTGCACACATGTTGCTAGTTTTCTCTCTCACATCACATTCAAAGAGCCAGCTGCTTGGCAAACTCCCATCAAGTGTGACATCAGGCTGTATACCTTGATGGGTAGGGGATATACAAGTTATCACACAATGCTTTAACAATCATTTTCCAGCACCACCAAAACATAATTCTTTTTGAACAGTAGTCATAATTTCCACTTGCACAGTCTTGACTGGTCCTTCATGCTCCACTCAAGCAATGAATTTCAATTACATTAAACTTTGTTTATAACAAACAAGCTTATAACAACCCGCTGATATAACAAACTTATGTTTAGGTCCCGGCCATTTGCTGTATATATGCTGTGCATATGCTCATAACGAACTACGGTTATAACAAACTAATATTAGTAGTCCCTTTGAGTTCGTTATAACCATAGTTTACTGTATGTGAAATAAATTGACAAGAAACATACCAAAGGTAGTCAATAGAAACAATGTCACATGCCAAATTCATGCATAATGAGTTGGTGGGACATTGATTAGAACAACATTTGTATCGCTGTGTGGAGTGAGTGAGTGAGTGAGTTGGGTTTAACCCCGCTTTCAACAGTATTCCAGTTATATCACGGCGTGTCAGCTTAATGTGGGAGGAAAGCCCGAAGTGATGCAGGTCTCAGCCGTTTACCACTTCGGTGAAACCCACGAGCACAGGTATGGTGCTGACAAACCTAGAAACATAATCGGAACGAACCGGGATTCGAACCCACAATCATAGGTTTCTGGCGTGCCCAAGGGACGCAAATCTGCACAGCGAATCGTGGCGCTGTGCGGAAGTCCTGGAAGGACAGCCAAAGTGATGCATGAAGCAAACAGTCTAAACTCTGGGGGAACTCACAAGCATGGTATGGGGATGTACTGTTTGAAACTAAGAACGAGAGTGAGTATGGTTTTACACACTTTTATTAGCAATATTCCAGCAATATCACGGCAGGGGACACCAGAAATGGACTTCAAACATTCTACCCATGTAGGGAATGGGACCCGGTCTTTGGTGAACGCTTTAACCACAAGGCCCGAAACTAAGACTAAAAGTAAAGGGGATCATGTCATAACCCTAATGTTAAAGTTAACAACTTAGGGGTCCATAGGTTTAAATTCTACAGGACCTGAGACCTCAACACAGACACTAATTTCTAACACTGGTGAGAAAATCAAAGATCACAATCCAGGTAAGTCTGAGAAGCTGGATTCTGGTCTCCGTCACGCTGCACAGGTAACAGCAAGGTCTTCAGCCACAGCGCCACCAGTGCCTTCTATTGCTAGCTAAATACTGCATCTAATATTCCGTTTTACCAAATAATCAATATATACTGAAATATATTTCATGTTAAGCTGAAACAATTAGCATTTGCAATATTTGCATCAGAACAGGATTATGCACAGGAAGACATTAACCTTTAGCCTCATTCTATGTATAAGCCCTGTATATAATCTTAGCAATACAACTAGGCTTTCAATAAGGAAATATGCAAAACACAACCAACTACCATGGAAATCACATGGGGCTGTCCCCATCCTCCAACACATGAGTTCATGTGCCAGGGGTGTTCTGTTTTAGTTCAAACTAGAACAGCTGTGCAAGGATAACAATATTCTTTTATAAGGCCAGTTTATTTCAAATTTTACAGACTCAAATATTGAATTAACTAAAACGTGTTTGAATTGAAATATGCTTTTTATCATCTTCATGTTTGTGTTTTATAAGAAAAAAACATCTTCCCGAGGCAAGGGAGTTACCTGACTATAAAAGTCCAGTTTCCACCCTTGCCGAATTTGGCTAGAATTTCCAGTCTCGATCGGAGCACCACCAGTGACTATTGCCAGTTATGTACCTCCTATGCCCCTCCTATGGACCAATCAGATTCCATCTTACATATACCTTTTATTTGGTTCAAACAAAATGGCGGCACCCAGTCAAGACGATCTTATTGATAATCAAGATCTATAGTGTAATGAAATGGGTTTTAACCCGCGAAGCGCATCAAATCACTTGAGCACCTTCATTAAAAACATGAAAAGATTTTCAAAATATTTATCGACACCCAATTGATGGTACACATGCTTTGCAAATCCTGCAGTCGACCGAAATCTACACATTGATATCCATGTTGTTTACCAACCCGATGGCAAGTTCGTTACGCAATTTTGATTGGACTATGCATAGACTCGTTAGTCCAGCCAAAATGTAACTCCATAATCCCAGCCTAGTTCGGCAAGGGTGGAAACTGGACTTTCATAGTCAGTTAATGCCCTTGCCTTGGGAAGATGGAAAAAACAGCCTCTTTATTTTATGACTTTCTTTATAGAAACAACTTCACATCCACTCTGAAAACATTACTTTCTTATTGCCTCCTGTCACTGACCAAGAAAGTAAGTGAAACAAGACAATATGTTGCTCTGGCTGCAGTATACACAATAACAACTCATTTATTCACTGTTCAGTCTGGATACTTTACAAAAGCTGAGTAGTATATACATGGCACAGAATTGTGCCCAATGGCATGATTGAAGCTGTGAAGCAGCACAGCTGACATGACTGGAGCTGTCTGTGATGTGGGATGTGTGGTCAGCTGCTACTGGACACAGCCGGAGGCTGACATGACTGGAGCTCTCTGTGATGTTGGATGTGTGGTCAGCTGCTACTGGACACAGCGGGAGGCTGACATGACTGGAGCTCTCTGTGATGTGGGATGTGTGGTCAGCTGCTACTGGACACAGCAGGAGGCTGAAAAGGAAACATTGAGGGTGGTTAATGAGAATATTTCCTTGAAGCCATAAACTATAATGAACTATTCCTTTGCAAAGCCATTGTTATTAATTCAATATCGTTTATCCATTCTTCAGATGAACAATGGGCAGTTTTCTTAAAGTGATGATTTAATTCAATATATAGCGGCATTGGAAGCAAAAGTTCAATCCCTCAAGCAACCTCTTTCAGACTATTCCTTCAAGATGTCAAAGCGACGAGATCTAAGTCACCATAATCTATGTCACTATGCTCTATGATCTAAGCCACTATGCTCTATGAACTAAGTCACTATGCTCTACGATCTAAGCAAATATGCTCTATGTCGCTATGCTCTATGCTCCAAGTCACTTTAATCTATGTCACTATGATCTTTGATGTAAGTCACTATGGTCTATGCTCCAAATCACTATGCTCTATGTCACTATGATCTTTGATGTAAGTCACTATGCTCTATGTTCCAAGTCACTATGCTCTACGTCACTATGCTCCATGATGTAAGTCACTAAGCTCTATGCTCCAAGTCACTATAATCTATGTCACTATGATCTTTGATGTAAGTCACTATGGTCTATGCTCCAAATCACTATGCTCTATGTCACTATGCTCCATGCTACAAGTCCTTTTGCTCTATGGTGTAAGTCACTATGCTCTACGATCTAAGCCAATATGCTCTATGTCACTATGCTCTATGCTCCAAGTCACTATGCTCTATGTCACTATGCTCCAAGATGTAAGTCACTATGCTCTATGCTCCAAGTCACTATGCTCCAAGATGTAAGTCACTATGCTCTATGTCACTATGCTCTATAATTTATGTCAGGCAATATGCATTTAACCACAAATAAACTGAAAAAGAAGTTATGCTATTTTCAAATACATACTTGCACCTTATCAACTCTGTATATGTTTTTCGTATGAAGCACATATGATAAAGCTCTGTTAATTGTTCATGTGTCTGTACTCATTAAAACCCTGACATGTACCACTGACTTCTTAAACATGGGACATGAGTAATGCTGGAAGGGTGTGAGCTAACATTCTACCAGTCTGATGGGTGTAGGACACATTGTGGCCATCAAGCATCGGTCCACAGACCACCGCTGGCTTCCTCATGCTCTGGCTGCATCTCAGCTCAGCAATATAACTACAACATGTACCACTGCTGTCCCCCCATACAACATGTACCACTGCAGTCCCCCATACAACATGTACCACTGCTGTCCCCCATACAACATGTACCACTGCTGTCCTCCATACAACATGTACCACTGCTGGCCCCCCATACAACATGTACCACTGCTGTCCTCCATACAACACGTACCACTGCTGTCCTCCATACACCATGTACCACTGCTGTCCTCCATACAACATGTACCACTGCAGTCCTCATTACACCATGTACCACTGCAGTCCCCCATACAACATGTACCACTGCTGTCCTCCATATAACATGTACCACTGCTGTCCTCCCATACAACATGTACCACTGCTGTCCCCCCATACAACATGTACCACTGCTGTCCCCCATACAACATGTACCACTGCTGTCCCCCATACAACATGTACCACTGCTGTCCTCCATACAACATGTACCACTGCTGTCCTCCCATACAACATGTACCACTGCTGTCCCCCAATACAACATGTACCACTGCTGTCCCCCATACAACATGTACCACTGCTGTCCTCCCATAGAACATGTACCACTGCTGTCCCCCCCATACAACATGTACCACTGCTGTCCTCCATACAACATGTACCACTGCTGTCCTCCATACAACATGTACCACTGCTGTCCTCATTACACCATGTACCACTGCTGTCCTCCCATACAACATGTACCACTGCAGTCCCCCATACAACATGTACCACTGCTGTTCCCCCCCACAACATGTACCACTGCTGTCCTCCATACACCATGTACCACTGCAGTCCCCCATACAACATGTACCACTGCTGTCCCCCCATACAACATGTACCACTGCTGTCCTCCATACACCATGTACCACTGCAGTCCCCCATACATGTACCACTGCTGTCCCCCCATATAACATGTACCACTGCTGTCCTCCCATACAACATGTACCACTGCTGTCCTCCATACAACATGTACCACTGCTGTCCCCCCATACAACATGTACCACTGCTGTCCTCCCATACACCATGTACCACTGCTGTCCCCCCATACAACATGTACCACTGCTGTACCCCATACAACATGTACCACTGCTGTTCCCCATACAACATGTACCACTGCAGTCCCCCATACAACATGTACCACTGCTGTCCTCCCATACAACATGTACCACTGCTGTCCTCCATACAACATGTACCACTGCTGTCCCCCCATACAACATGTACCACTGCTGTCCTCCATACAACATGTACCACTGCTGTACCCCATACAACATGTACCACTGCTGTCCTCCATACAACATGTACCACTGCTGTCCTCCATACACCATGTACCACTGCTGTCCCCCCATACAACATGTACCACTGCTGTACCCCATACAACATGTACCACTGCTGACCTCCATACATGTACCACTGCTGTCCTCCCATACAACATGTACCACTGCTGTCCCCCCATACAACATGTACCACTGCTGTCCTTCCATACAACATGTACCACTGCTGTCCTCCATACAACATGTACTACTGCTGTCCTCCCATACAACATGTACCACTGATGACCTCCATACATGTACCACTGCTGTCCCCCATACAACATGTACCACTGCTGGCCCCCCATACAACATGTGCCACTGATGACCTCCATACATGTACCACTGCTGTCCCCCATACAACATGTACCACTGATGACCTCCATACATGTACCACTGCTGTCCTCCATACAACATGTACCACTGCTGTCCTCCCATACAACATTTACCAGTGCTGTCCCCAATACTACATGTACCACTGCTGTCCTCCATAAAACATGTACCACTGCTGTCCCCCATACAACATGTACCACTGCTGTCCCCAATACAACATGTACCACTGCTGTCCTCCCATACAACATCTACCACTGCTGTCCTCCACATACAACTATGTACAACATGTACCACTGCTGTCCTCCACATACAACTATGTACAACATGTACCACTGCTGTCCTCCCATACAACATCTACCACTGCTGTCCTCCACATACAACTATGTACAACATGTACCACTGCTGTCCTCCATATACAACTATGTACAACATGAACCAATGCTGTCCTTCATACACAACTATGTACAACATGTACCAATGCTGTCCTCCATACACAACTATGTACAACATGTACCACTGCTGTCCTACATACACAACTATGTACAACATGTACAAATGCTGTCCTCCATATACAACTATGTACAACATGTACAAATGCTGTCCTCCCTACACAACTATGTACAACATGTACTAATGTTGTCCTCCATATACAACTATGTACCAATGCTGTCCTCCATACACAACTATGTACAACATCTACCACTGCTGTCCTCCATACACAACTATGTACAACATGCACCAATGCTGTCCTCCATACACAACTATGTACAACATGTACTAATGTTGTCCTCCATATACAACTATGTACAACATGTACAAATGCTGTCCTCCATACACAACTATGTACAACATGTACTAATGTTGTCCTCCATATACAACTATGTACCAATGCTGTCCTCCGTACACAACTATTTACAACATCTACCACTGCTGTCCTCCATATACAACTATGTACAACATGCACCAATGCTGTCCTCCATACACAACTATGTACAACATGTACTAATGTTGTCCTCCATATACAACTATGTACAACATGTACAAATGCTGTCCTCCATACACAACTATGTACAACATGTACTAATGTTGTCCTCCATATACAACTATGTACCAATGCTGTCCTCCGTACACAACTATTTACAACATCTACCACTGCTGTCCTCCATATACAACTATGTACAACATGTACCAATGCTGTCCTCCATACACAACTATGTACAACATGCACCAATGCTGTCCTCCATACACAACTATGTACAACATGTACCAATGCTGTCCTCCATACACAACTATGTACAACATGCACCAATGCTGTCCTCCATACACAACTATGTACAACATGTACCACTGCTGTCCTACATACACAACTATGTACAACATGTACCAATGCTGTCCTCCATATACAACTATGTACAACATCTACCACTGCTGGCCTCCATACACAACTATGTACAACATGCACCATGTGTACCACTGATCTACTTCCAGTAATCTATCGTGTACTAAAATTAACATAGAAAGTTTAGGAACATAAAATTACAAAATATAGTTAGGAATGTACAGTAAACTAAGATGCATTATCTAAACACTGACCAGAACTCGTTCAAAAATGTTCTATGATAAAAATATGCCTCTCACAGATAACGTCGATGTATATGTACCGGTACTCTTAACTTTAAAGAGGTCTTGTATGATGATACTGAATCATAGAAATTACTTACAAATTACCATTTCAATTTAAAATTCTCATTTACTTTTGAACATCATCCCCTATATCAAGCCACCACAAGCACACCAAAAGTGATGAATTCATTACACTCTGGGCTAAAGCCCTTCATGTCTTCAGGAATTCATATGATCAAAGATATTCTCAAAAGTCATAAGCGCCAAGAAAAGCCACGGAAACCCATTGGCAGGGAGTCTGCAGTGCATTCTCTTTATAAACATATCCCCTCAGATGTAGCCTTCATTACACTGCAAACATCACTACTTGACCCTTACCCTTGGCTTAAGCTGAAAGGACTTGATGAGTACAGTTTGGGATATATCTTTGTAGATATAATTACTACTTCTGCGTTAGGGTCTCCTCCAGCTAATGAGCTTACATGGATACCATTTCCTGGTGCTACTTCTGCACAACTAGTTGTAATAGTCGTCTTGTCATAGCTTCAATGTTATATCTATGTCAATCAGGGA